ATTTGGTTTTGATTAGAAAAGCAAGCTCATTTCATTTTGTTTCGCTTGAAAGTAAAATGCGGTTAAGAAATATTAATTTCACTTCATGAGAGAAGAAATTCAAATATACATTAAGTTTGTCTCTTAAGTGAGACTTGTCAACTTATTTCTTCAAACTTCTAACGCAATTTCTCAATAGATAAGCAAAATAAATAAGAAAGTGTGATAGTGCTTCACCACTATTTAGGACATAAATATAAAAACCACAATTTATTATTATTGCGATTGTTTAATCAAAATAATAGTAAACTTTTCTAAAATTAAGTTTCAAATAATCCTTCTGCCTGAAATTACCCTTTCGCTATTTTAGTGCTATTAGTTGGCACTTTTTAATATTATTTTTTTATTGCATTGACTTTCTCTGTCTCAATTGATCACTGTATCAAAGATACGATGTAATGCTATGTTTTCTTTTTGTGATTGCCTCTTAAAGCACAATATTCGTTAAAGCATCGTCATTTTTATACATTCACGTCATATGACCAAGCACTGAAACTGTTGGATATTTATTCGCTTAACAATGCCTATGTTGTTTTGAAGCTCGTACAGCACGAGACTCCTTCGGATGTGGTTGTCATCATCAACTCATAGACACCCAAAGTCTGACGGAGCAGATTCCTAGTGTATACATTCTTTAATGGTATATTTGCATCTACGCCAAACAGAAGGTTAGGGAATTATGCGGCGTAAGTTTCCTCGAGAGAACCTCTTTATCGCAATTACTTTCTGAAACTATAGTAATGAGAGTGTTAAAGCTTTAGCTGGTTTTCAGACTAACATGGCTATTGTTGGTTATGGCGGTACCAAGATAGATAAAATCTCTGACGACTTCGAAGATACAGTGAACAGCAATCAATTTAGATTGCAGTTTTACTTTGAATCCAAACACCTGAACATTATATATCTGTGATGATGGAGAAGAAGAAGCTCACTTTCACATACTCTTAAGAAGTAAGAATGACTAAATTGTGATTTTATAAAAAAATTTTACAACACCTCAACTGACTTTCAGAAATGTTTGTCAGTGAGTCCTAGTATTTCTCATAAGAAAACATATATTTTCTGCACAGAGTAGTCAGTGTATTTAATACCGATATTAGAGATGTCATTTTAGGGAAAAATTTTAGGGAAGAAATATTTATAAGTAATGGTCAATTCTGGTGAATGGAGTGTAAAGACAAAACAGATAAGTAATATTTTTTCCTTCTGAATAGACCGGTCAGTATTTTTAATATCAGTAATACATTTATTGAATAATGCATATATTATATATTTTAGGGAAGAAATATGTATAGTGGATAGAGGGTTAAGACAAAAAGATGAATAATGTAAAGAATATATGCCTGCTCTTCCTTCTTTGATCTACATTCAATGGAGCACACTAATAATCATTATGTTTACCCATAAGTATGTCTTGTTTGTATAGCACTTACATTGCTCTTGATTACTTGTTTTCTTCTGCTTCGCTTTGTAAGCTCGCTATACGCTTTATGTACCAGAGCATTATTTAAGTTAGGAAACCCCACTTATATATTTCATGCAGCTCTTACAGACATTATATTACCCTGGAGACCATCAAAAGAAGTACCTTCCTTTACTTTCTGCAATTCGCCAATAACAGATGGAAAGCACTAAGGTCATGTGCAATTTCCAGGTTAACGTGGCCCAATTATAATAAAAATAAATCCCTGGAACTGATCAAAAGAGATCGCGTAAACACTGCAAGGCTTATTGCAGTCCTTACTGGTCATTGGTGTATAGGAACTCACGCAGAGAAACTGCGTATTCCCTATAACTCTCACTGCAGAAGTTGTAGAAACCCTCAGGAGAGAGAAACAATAATACATTTTCTCTGTGAATGCCCAGCTCTAGCATCCAGAAGATATAGGTTCTTAGGAAAATACTTTTGTGATAGTTTATCAGACTGCTCAATGGTGAAGATGAAAGACCTATTAAATTACCTAAATTCAGTGGGATAGATTTAGTCTCTACTCTTCTATACTAGGGTTCTTGCGAAGAATGTGGTAACAAAACGGCGAAAAATCGCTAATTGAGGTACATTTGAAGTACCTCATTTATCTTATGGCCTGCCACTGCAACCAACCAACCAACCAACCACAGACATAGAGAACGAAGAACGTCTTCTGAATGTTTCAACTATATTTGTTTTATAATTTTATTCAGGACTTAATTTATTGAGATGGCTTAGGTGGAATTCTAGAGTTCAGATTGTGAATGAGTTTTGCTCTGATAAGCTGACAAGATTACCTTCACCTATGAAGATATTATATATATTTTTTTAATAACTATATTGAAGTTTCAGTGAAGGCAATATGTTTATCAATGATAATAACTTATTTAAATAATATTTATTAATTTTTTTTTTAAAAGTATTACTTTATAATTTCAGTTAATATTCACAAAGCGTACTTTCCAATAAAGACTCCACTGTTTGCTAACCAACTTAATAGTCTATTATTGCCATTTATGTTTTCAGAAAAATTAATATAATTTTCAAAAGTTATGATATATCACTGACAATATTGTTTTCTTCTATAAAGTCATCACAAATATTTTCATTACAAAAACAAAGTGACAAGTACGAATTTTCATTTCTTAAAAATTTCGCAAAAATGTTGATGTCGTAAGCGAGGTTCATTGGCCAACTTTAAGATACATTGTTGCCAACAAAGGCGCATTAGTTCCACTATTTGACTTGATAAATATGTTCATACAATAAAATCAACGTTTTTCCACCCACTGATTCACATATGATCACATTTTGTGTGCCAAGCAATGTGTTTAGCCGAAATTAAAAGACAAAAACTTCGTAAAAGTCTCAAGATCCTCAACGTCAGTCAGAAATCACTTTCTATTTCGTTGAGCTTAAAGGCACTTAAAGACACGCAACTTCCTCCTATCCACAGACTGCAGACTGCTGTATTTTGGGCATTTTTGACTGTTTCTCTTAACGTTTTCGTATCTTTCTTGCGGTGTGACAAGACCGTTTATGCCGCGAACCTACCACAATAATTCGACTGAAAGCGAAATGTAAGCGCATTTTTCATACGACGGAGTCACAACCTGTGAAGTGATTAATTAATATTCCTAGCGACAATAATTACATTTTGTGATTATGAAATTTATTTATTTGAGGTTTTTAGTTGTTTATTTTGTTTATTTTGTTTATTAAAAGAAATGCACGTACAAATTGTTACCGAATTCATTTGGCTTTTGGGCAAATGTCTTTGAGCTGTGCTCATTATATGAGCTCTTATGCAATAAGCTCGACTTCATTACAAGGGATTTTCAAATTTGTGTATTGCATTTATAATGTGAGCTAATAAAAGATATTAACAACTTTTATATTATCATATATATTTTATGATTTTTTTTCTTCGTCTTCATGCAAAAAACAGCGAAAATTATTGAATGAAGTTACAGGTTTGTTGCTTAAGTCATTTGTTATTATCTGTTGAATAGTTTTGTTTGTGTGAGTTATGTCACTAATAAGCCATAAAAACAATAATCTTTTTTAATTATTTAATTATCTAAATATTACTTGCAAAATTTAAAATTTATTAAAAATAATATCATTATAAATTATAATATTACCTAAAGTAATAATAAATTTTCAATTATGTTTAATATGTTCGATTTTACTTAGATACGTTTATACGGTGGTAATTCTTTGATTGTTATTGAACATATACCTACTTACACCTTAATATGTTTAATTATATGTTCTTATTACTTAGAACTTACTTACTTAGTTGGCCATTACAGACGTGAGTCGTCCTTGACCGCGTCTAGTAGCCTTCGCCAATCAGTCCGATTAGTTGCTTGCTGTCGCCAGTTGATAGTACCGAGCAAACCCAAATCGTTGGTCACCCGGTCCATTTTCTTATGTTTCATGAAAACAATTCTATATTGTAAAAAAAAGAGTTATTTATGAGAAAATACTGCCTAACTTTCATCATGAGTGTTTCTCTGAAATAACTATTGTTTTGTAAACTGTACAATGTTTTTAGAAAGTAATATTTTTATTTTAAATACATTTAAAATTTTCAAAATAATTTATTTTTCAATCACTTTAAATAAAAAGTTCTCACAAATTTATATAACAGATATTTTCTACAAAAATGTCTTATGCTTCATAATTTTTTTTTCATTTTTAGTGCTGTTACCTGCTCTATGACTGTAGTATATGTTTATGTGTGTACTTAATAAAATACGCTGTAAACAATACACAATGATGTTCTAACAAATTTGTTCTAATTAACGCAGGAATTTAACGATAATGTCTTCCACTCCTTGCATTATTCATATTAGCACTATATACATTATTAAAATGTTTTACAAACATAATGAAATTCATTTGTTTTTACAAACTCTCCATCTACCAGATAGAAACGAAGAAGCATATCATATAGGTCTACTAAACTATACCTGTAGAGAATTTTAAAATAAATTGAACTTTCGAATTGATTTGACTTTACAGTTGGATAAGAAATTAATATTATTTTGATTATAATTTATTTACACCACGGTAACTAATTATTTCATTAAAATGGACTTATATATGTCTTGGAGAGTGTAATACCCACCAGCAAAAGAAACAAGACTCTAGAGCTTGCATAAATAAGATATGATTTATTTTATATCAATTTAATAACATTTAAAGATCCATTCAGATAATAATCTTTTCAACTGAATTCCAAATATTTAATGGGTATGTAAGATTGGTTCCTTACAGGGGCACTATGAGTCCTGATAGTGCAGTATTTATTATTGTTAAGGAATGCGACACTGCAACCGTCGGGTCTGTTGTGCCATTTGATAGTGCAGTAAGTCTTTGAAATCACTGATTTGAATCAGGCTCTTCAAGTTTCCCGAAACCGAAGAAAATAGATATATTCTGAACTAACGGAAGTCAAACTCTTACTGTGCTAAGTATATTGATAAATAAATTCTCAACGCTCTATCAACTTCAAAAAGTAAATAACCTAAAGAAATTATTAAGGCCCTATGTTTCGGAGAAAATGAATTAATGACATTAATAAAAGAGAAAAGAGATGAGGTTCTAAAGAATGATAGAAATGTGTTTTGTTTAAATTTGTCTAAGTTTTATATTGGAACTATTATTATGTTTTGAACCACGATAAAGAAATTTTAAAGATATATTTTTTCACGAATATCTTACTTACGAAATGTATCTCGATTTAATTTTAGATGAATATATATGTATATATATTACAATAAGTCATTATTTTATTATTTTATCTAAATAATGTATATGATAAAATTATATACTATAACTTAATTAAATTTTAAAATCAACAAAGATAGTTTATCTTTGTGATATCACAACTTCATTTAAAAAACGTGTCGTAGCTAGATAATACCTCATTTTTGCTTCTTTTCACTTTTTCTAATTTCAGTTATTTAATTTATTTTTTTAATTAAATTAAAACCTTAGAAGATTATTGAGAAAAAGTTGTAAAAAATAAATACTTAAAGAAAATGAAAGCTATTTTATTAGCACTAAAGTGTGAAAATCATAATAAAAATCTTACGAGTATTATTGATAACGAAAAGAAAATCTTTAAATTTCTATCCAAAAATAATATTTGGGTCAATTTCATTTTTAATATTAAAAATAATTATTAGGTAGTGAACTATTTATCATTTTCATTATAAGAAATAAATTCATTAAAATATAAAAGCAAATAAAACTTTTTTGGGGTCTGGTATATTTGTATTGATAAATTTTAATTACTAAATACATTACTATTTATCATTATCAAAGTAGATAGCTCTCACCTGCCATATTAGGAAAGAAGTATAACCAGTCTTTTCTATATTTAAATAAACTTAAATCTCCAGAATTTTAACCTATGTCCACATTACTTCTTGATGTCCATTATCTCTAGTAGAACATAGAACGGCAACGATTATTTTAAATATCATGTTGCTGAGCGGTTCCTTCCGTATTTGGCTGTAGCTTCTCCTTTCCATGGTTTATCTATAAACTACATGGTTTATATATAAATTATAAACAATGCAGTAAACAATTTTTAGTGTTGCGAGTTCCAGAACAGTGTTTTTGTTGGGATTTTTTTGTACTACCAAATATTGTGACCAGATCAATCATAATTCTATTAATTTATATGCTTCGTATAGCCTGTATACGGTCAATTTTTTGCAATCCATATATAAGCAATAATAAGCAATAATAACACAAAATAACATATAAAAAAGAAAATATGATGAATAAACTATACTTAATTCAAAAATTAGTTTTATGGATAAACTTTAAGTAATTTACCAAGTAAATTGCATAAGAGATGGATCCCACGTATGCAACCAAGTATATGTATCCGCCATTATTTGAGCTCAAGTAGACTTTGATGCGCAAGGCCATCACTCCAACCTATTTCAATCATAAGTTAGGATAACAAAAACCACATAATAAAAACTTAGTGTTTCCAGAGTTGATCTCAGTCTGCAGCGCATAATTGTATACTGCATAGAGCATTTTTGCCGTATACATAAAACATGAATTTAAGAAACTATCATAATCGTATTAAGATAACTTTCACAGGGATAAGCTTCATTATATACATTCATCCCAATTTAAACCACCATTAGGCCCTGCTGATCACATTCATAGATGTAAGCAATATCGTACATAATGTACCAAATTCAAATTAATAAACACTGCAGACAAGCTCAATAGATAATATCGACCAATATAGAACTATTTAATAGATAAATTCAATAGTTTTTAAAGTACATTATAATGACTGATAACATTTTGTAAAAATTATATTCAATATAGGGACTATCGTTGTATATTCCGATAAAACAGACTGTATATAAATATATTAAAATGTGTTGACATCAATGAGGTCGTAAAGTAGAGGATTCCATAAAATTTGTGTATAGCTCCATTCAGATTTTAATTACACTCTTCTTTTGAAAATACCAATAAATATATTATTTACAATATCAAATCCATAAAACCAAATACTTACAGAAGATTCTCTGTGAATAGTGTTTATGTGATCAGAATGATCCATTTTTTCAAAATATTAGATTATCCATTGAAACGCTTTCACATATCAAGAATACATCAAGCCCAAAGTTTTATATCAAATTATTCTGAATAATTAAAGTCACATTAACAAATTCGTCAGCAATTTGTCTCAGAGTACCATTCAATGGATTTCATTCTCACCACCAGAAGAGCTGCGGAACGGCTAAACGATTTAGAAATACCGAAAAAGGCACAAATCAGTGCCGATGAAGATAAAATTAATACAATTTTATGTGAAAAGAATTCGAAAAGTAAATCAACAAGAGCTCCATGCTGTTACCAGTAATTACCAAAGATTTACCATTGCATATTTCCTCAGCACTTTACAGATTAAGTAAACAATGACTGAGGAAAAAAGAGGTTCTTACCAAAAACGAAGCTGCGGAAGAACTGAAGAAATAATTTCGTGTTAATCTTTTTCAATAAGCAGGTGCCTCAGGTGCTTTGTCGGTTCGGTAACTGCCGCGGCCTGTTCTAAAATTTCATTATTAAACCTCTTTTTTTTTGGTGAATCTTATCTGTCTCTCTGATGTTGTGCGATGTGTGAAGAAATCAATTAGCTCCAAGCTTCGTGGCGTGCACATATCTGAACGTGAAAATTTCTCAAATGAAATAAAAAATGTATTTGTTACACACCCAAAAGTTTCTTTGTCATTTTGGTGTTTTAGAAATCTTTAAGACTGCCTTTTCTGTAGTCTTGAGCAAACAAATAGAGAAGCAGATTTCTGTCATAGATATGAGCAGTGTGGGTAGAGATGAAGGCATCATGACAGCGTGGAGTAAATTTTTGATTAGAAATTTTTTTTATAGGTTTTCACCAAAAACCCATATGGTTTTATTGCATTATATATTTTTATTAAAAATATTATATACAATAAAAATTTAATTTGCAATTGATTGAAAAAATAAGTCTTTAATTTCAACGAAGAAAGCAGAGAGTCTCTTTAGTTAATTCTTGCTGCTAAGTTAGAGGAGTAATAAAGTAACGCAATCTAATACCCAAAATAATGACCTCCTATTAAAATTTATATACAACACGTTATTCTTTATATGTTATATATTTTATACAACACACAACACACCTTCAGTTCTTTTTCTATGACTTTATTAAAGTCAACGATTTGTCCAAATTTGAGTTAATTTGATCAGAAATGAGTAATTCTCTGTGGATGCTATTGGATCATGAAACGCATGAGCCATGTGCACTACATTTTTTTCTTATTAGTAATTCATTGATACTTTGATAATATAAAAATTATATAAAAATTAAATCAAAAGACGATTTGGCAAAATAAATATTGCCTTACTTTTGCCTCCTTTTTTACCTGACTTATTTATTGATTTTTACTAAAATCGTACGCCAACGAGAGCAGTAGTCCACAGTTTCGTTGAATATATAAGACTGTACCAGTTTCAGTCGAACCAGTGGAACTGTGGCAGATACAATACATCACTTAACATTGAAGACAATTGGAAGCTGCATACATTGACGTCTGCGGCACTGAGGCACGTACCACTTCAGTTTTTCAACAACGTAGACAACCTTAGCATAAAAACAATCTACTGCGTATTCATCACCATTTTCAACACGGCTGCATTTGGTGTTGCTGTTGTTGTTACTCGTATTTTCGTCCAAATTCATTTTTTTTTAATTTGATTTTTTGTATATATATACAGTAGGAATATAAATGAAAACGTGTTGAAACTTAAAAACTTTAAAAAAGTGAAACTTCATGCTTCTTTGAAGACGCATTATTTTCAGTTTACAACTTCCATTCCATTTCGTCCGCACTGCATGAATCTGCTATGAAGCTTATTAGTTTTTTTCTTGCTTTCCATTCACACTATAGTAAAGCGAACTTGTGTATTAAATCTTCCATCCTTTTTATTTTATACATCGTTTCTGCAGCAAGTCTAATAATTTTGCTTCTCTTTCAGACTGTCAACATAACGATCATCTGTCATTCTCTCATATATCACCAAAGTCCAGCAGCAATAACTTGGCAATAGATCCTGCCACATATTTAAGCACATCACGACCCATGCTAGAAAGTACAATTGTCGACACTTCGTCAGTACCAGCACCTCAAGCGGAACTGCATCGAGATGAAAACGATACCCGCCAGCATTCACGTGTAGAGCGTTCAGCATTTCCTATACTCAATGAAAACTTTCCAAAATCCAGTCCCAATGACGTACATTTTCCAAACGATATCAAAGTTGCAGAAGCAGGTCGCTATTTTCAATATAACATTAAACCCACAGGTACACATGATATGCAAACAGAGAGCTTGGAAAGCGCACAGCGTACACGTGCTGGTAAGACTTTAAGTTCAGCTACTTCGGCAGCGACCACAACAAGTTCTTTTTTATTGAATGGGGGCCTACGACCGATTACGTCGGGGTCCCCAATCAATCCGACGAGCAGTACTGCTACCTCAATAGTGGCAAGTGCGACGGCGTTACCTCATAATCCGCGTCAAAATCCAAATCCCGATATTCAAGATATTATAACAGGTATAGTGAAATTATTGAATGGCAACGTTAATGTACACGCGAATACACAAGGTTTACGTCGACCAGTTGCTAGTCGCATTAATAATCGTGGTCCACCTAGAATATCAGAAGTTCAGACCTTACCATTGGATTATGAAGCTCAAAAACCAGTCGTAGCTAGTTCTATGCGACCACCACCATTCCCGTTTGATAGACCGGATAGACCTTTTATAACTGGTGTACCCATACCGGAGCAAATAGTACCTTATCGTCCTGGTTTTGTTAGTAATCGACCGCCATGGCATCGTAATAAACCTAGACCACCGATAACAACATCAATTGGTGGTAGGCGTCCTATTCCACAATATAAACCATTGCCTTCATCACAAATGAATCCACCTCCTGTCGAAGCTGATTCACAATATCCAACACATGACCAGCAAATACCACAAGTACCTGCAAAAGAGTCCGATGATGTGGATACACCAACAGTTTCGGATTACAATGACACACTAGAGAGTGCTAAGCCTACTGATACCACATACGACTCAGACTTTTCCAATGAAGATATTAATACGCAATATATAGAAGTTTCCGATCAAGATACTGACATAGTAGCTGCTAATGAAAATGATGAATTGGAAGAAAGTCCACAAGCACCACCTTCCCCTCCTACCAAAAAAACCGAACCAGTACATAAAAAGAAACCCAATAAACAAAAGTTAAATGACAAGAAAAAAGTGATTGCTGACGAACCTTCCAATCAAATTGAATCAACTGCAGCTTCCGAAACGCACATGCAAATGTCATCCACTTATATACCCATGCCAGTAGACGATATAGATGGTATAGATATTGATCCATCTGCTGAAGAAGTAATTTTCATGATACCAAACAAAACACCTTCATTGGAATCACAAATCACCACTAGTATCAGTTCGAAATCTGTTAATATTGCCAGCAGTACAAGCATTGAAACATCTGCAATAAATGTGAAAAAACCAACTGAAACTATCAGTTTACTAAGTAACTCGGAGCTAAAGATTAATATTTTACCAACACCATCCAACTTCATTCCCATACCCTCCACTACCACTAACATAATTACCACTACCACCACTACTGCAATAATTACTACTACCACCTCCACTACAACTACTGAAAAATTGCCCACCCAAACCAATCCAACAACAACGCCGCAACCAGTAACACCCTATCAGCCTCGTCCCGGTATTGTGCTAGATGATCCTGAATTTCAGCCCGGCGGACGACCTCGTCCCCAAAGACCACAACAAGCACGTCCACCAGCACCTCAACAACCGCACATACAGCCAACAAGACAGCATCTGCCACCGGGCTATGGTGAGATTTTCGATGTGACTTTATCTGCTATACAGGGTCCAGGCTCCGGTGGTGGCTCTCAGCACACCATAAATATAAAACCTTATGGATCTTACGGCAGCAACGGCTTACAGCAAAATCAAGCTGATATCATTGTTTCTGCCACAGGTGAAGAAGGTTTTGTTTCGATTGATGGTAAACGTACTTACATAAATCTTTTTGGTGACCCTACAGATCCACCAGCTGGTGCACAAGTGCCAAGCACTCCGGCTACAGCTATACCGCAATTGCCAGGCAGTAGTAATGTGGGTGGTAGTGGAAACACGGGTAGTAATACTTCCGGAAATCAAAACACGCACACTGGTATTGGTGCCGGATATGCTGTACCTGAGACTGAAGTTGTTGAGTTGCAGCCAACGAAAGCAGAAAATTCAAAACCAAATGCGCAACCGCAACCAGCAACAACAAATTCTGGACCAACTCGACCACATTACAGACAACGTACTACCCAACCACCTGTACGTATAGATACTTGCATTGTTGGTGACGACTCCACATGCGATCAAGCACAACATGAGCATTGTAAAACGGAAAATGGTGTATCAAGTTGTCATTGTCGTCCAGGTAAAACAAATAAATAGAGTTTCATTACTAGTCTTCCTCTGAAGAGCTGTGTCCAGTTAGACAGTGTGAAATACAATTCCATTTTCCATTCCTTTCATTTTTATTCATTCAATATTTTTAGGTTACTCCCGTCGGAAACACCGCGAGCCTTGCCGAAAAGTGATTTCATTTTATTTGGGCATGCGTGTGGATCGCATCTATGAGCATAGAATTGTATGGGATAACAAACTTCTCGATCTCAACAGTGAACCTTATGGGCAACTAAGCTATGAATCTATTCGAGCAGTAAGTGTGTATGATTTTAAAAGTGATATCTTAAAAACCAACACGTCCTTTATTTAGATTGATTCTGCTATGTCGATGACACCATATTCAGACGAGTTCATGGAGGCAAAAGTTAATAACATTTACCGTGGTGATCCAAACCTTGGTGGTAGTGGTGTTTTTGTGAATCTAACAATAAAGGTAAGCTATTAATTTGCAAATAGTTTAATATCTTATTAATTTAAACTCTGTTACAGCTTGATGAAAGTGTTGAAACCTTACGTCCCAATTTACGCAGCGATGTTCAAAAACATTTGCTTGGTGTCTTACATCGCCGCAACAACAATATCGGCAATTCAGTACTATACGTCTCCTCTCCAGAAGGTGCAGTGTCTCCATTGCAAGATTTAGACGAATGTCAATCGCATGAACTAAACGATTGCCATGAGAGTGCAATATGTACGAACGCTTGGGGTAGTTTCCGTTGTGCCTGTGAAGTCGGTTACCGGGATCCATGGTTAGATCAACCACAGCGTGCTGGTCGTGATTGTCAATCTTGTCCGGATTCTTATTGCAATAATCGTGGCACGTGTAGTTATAATGATGATGGAAATCAAATTTGTGCCTGTGATGGCAGTCACTATGGTAGCCAATGTGAAATTGATGGCGAGGTTCTGGGAGTAGCAATTGGAGCATCAGTTGCTGCTGTTATTATAATCGTATTGACTTTAGTTTGTTTGATTATGTGGTCACGTAGATGGCAACGGGAACAGAAGAATGCTATGGGTTCGCCAGTATTTGGATATATGAATACAGCGCCGCTTAAATCGGCAGGTATAGCACAACCTGGTTATCAAGTAACGCTTGAGGATCGCATGCGTTGGGCACAAATTGCAGATGTTATGGCGCAAACTAATCACTACGGGGTAAAATTTAATACATACTTAATTAAAATTAAAATTTTGAGAACACAATGCGGATTAAAAATATAAAAATGCAAATATTGTGAAATATTTTACACCATCTATCTTATCTTATTACAATATAAAATATCAATACAATTCACTTTAAAAATTTTTAGGCTGAACCAATAGGTCCAACCCGACCATCGTCTGCTATGTTTGCATATCCAAACTTGCAAGCCATGGGTATGGGCACTATAGGTGGTATGTCAATGCAGGGAACTATGTTGCATCAAAATGCGAATCTCGCTCCCCCGGTGCCATTGCCACGGTATGAGTGCGTAATAGTACAATTTTAACCATTTTGGATATTTACATGTTCATTATTTCAGAAGACTGGGACTTGGCGTACGTTCAAATGGCATGCGTACACTTGAAAACTCAAGCTCAAGTGAAGAGGAAGATCGAACAGATTTATTAGGTCGTAATTTTCAAGTACCACGCCCAAAGAGTAGAAGTAACGGAAGTATAGCGGTATGTTAACAATCTGTTTCACTATTAAATAGTTTTTAATGATGCTCTTTCTTACAGAATCAATCGGGCATCTATTATGATGTAGATTATGAACCGTCCGGAAATGGCATCGGTAATACGAGCGTTGATCATCTTTATGGTTCACAAAATCAGTCATCAACACATTCACATATGGGAAATAGTCATATACCTGGTCCACAAGGCATACCAATGAGCACATATACATCTGGGCGTGCGCCGAGCAGTTACTATATGAAGTAGTAGTCCATTTGAAATATTATTGGAATATTTTTGTGATTCTATTGAATATATATATAAATCGTGCACATATTTTGAATGATTTGAAATTAGATTTATAATGTAAAAATAAGGATGAAATTAATGATGCAGAAATATGGCTAACAAGAGAAATCGAAATCGGCGTTGATCTAATAATATTGTTTAAATTTGAAATTAATAAATTCCCAACTAAAGAAAATATTATTTTACTCATATTAAGAAATCTTGCTTATATTATAAGTTATGCATTC